ATTATTAAGGCAACAGGAAGACAAATGTTTTAAAATGCTACCAGTTTCATTTTAAAATTAATATATATTCCTGGCATTAAATTATTGTCTTGTTTAGAATGCAGTAACTGTCAAATATTATGATCTTTTTCTGTTTTCAGAAGTATTTGATTTGGGACATCTCAAACAACATATTCTACTCTTGAGATTGCTTATGTGTTGACAGCTTGGATGTGCTCTTGTTTACTTTCTGATTAGATCAAAATAAAAATATGTGCAGCTAGACCGGTTTTAATGACTCTAAAGATAAGCCAAGGCTCGTCCTCTTGGTGTCTGCTTTCCTGTAAACCTGTTTAGAATGTAAGAGTCTTTACAATAAATTTCTTTATTTTGCATCAGACGAAAATGTTAAGGTACCTGATAAATGTGTGGGTTACCCCACTGTCGTGCCATGGAATTTTTATTTAAAGACGGTTCTTCCCAAGCCTACTTTTTCTAGCAGCACAGCTTTGCTTACAAGTCAGTATGCCTTTCCCTTATCCTTTACCTCACAGGTTCCATGGATTATATCCTCTGTGGCTGAATCCTTTCCCTTGTAGAGGTAATCCTTGCTTCCACCTCTGCTCTCATGCAGCTCAGATGTCTTCTGGTGTTTTCACAGAACTCACAATCAGTCTCTCAAAATTTCATATACAGTCATAGCTTTCATTAGTGCTTACCTGCTTTTTTTGTCATTTTCTGGGCTCCCAAATTCTGTTGGAGTGGCTTCACTGTTAGTTGATGTTATTCCAAGAAATCTGTCGCTCACAGTAATAGGACTGATCCCTTTCCTGGGTACTGAATAGTAGGTGTTGCTGTCTTTTTATTTCTGACATAATGCATTCAGAAGTGCTTAGCACACAGCTACAGGATTTTAATAGAAGAATAGGGAAGTCTGGTTTTTGAGGATGGGCAGTTTTATTTCCAATTACATTATCATGATGATGATCCTATTGCTGCACTGAGAAAGGCAGTGGCATTTCACTGTCTGAATCCAGCTTTCAAGTGATTGTCTGGACCAATCTTTACCTTTATCAGGAAATGGGGAATTTGTGTTTTCTAAGGAAGTACTCTGAAATTTTCACCAGCAGAATTATCCAGGTAAATGTGCTACGTTTTAGGTTTTTCAGAAAGAAGTGATGAAAGGACTCAGTTGCAGTAAAATTTTTCTGCTATTTAAAGAGAGGACAGTATTCTTACACAAGCATGAGATAAGTGCAGTCTGTGTGCTTCATGCTGTGTCTGCAGCATCAGCAGCCACTATCAGAGACTTTTTGCAAGGACTTTAGCTTAAAATATCAGCCATTAGCAAATCACTGACCTTTGTAATGAGTATGTGACTTAATTCTCAGTTCTCTGCAAACCTTTTTGCATCAAATCACAGCAGTTCAGTGCTTCTTACAGGTGGTCTGACACTTTCCACACTCGAGGTGGTTTTGCCCTCCCCATCTGCAAGAAGGTGGTTGAAGCATTGCAGCCTGATTGGCAGTTGCATTTTGCCAGGCTGGGCTGCCATTCCCTGCAGCCTCCAGTGGATGCTAGGTGGATTGAAGGTGTCTGAAGTCTGCTCTTTGAACCATGAATGTCTTCAGCTTCAGCTGCTATCCTGGACATAGTTATTCACATTTTGAGCTTCACATAAACATTTGGTAGTCAAGAATCAACAACAGTGAAAAAAAAAAAAAAACTGCAAAAAAAAATCCCAACAAAACAAAAGCACCGCAAATATTTGCCTGTGGTGACACTTATAACATTTATTTGAGATGACTTTTTATTGACTTTCTAAGCATGATCTTTTAGAATTGCTAGGAGATGTGAATAGGTCAGTGAGAGAGCAAAGTAGTTTCCTTATGAGCTCTACAGGAAACTTCTGGATGTTGTTTTTCCCAGTCTTGTTTTTACTGTCTTCTCAGCTTTTAAGTTCTTCAGTCTTCTGCTCTCACAATGTAACATTACACAGATTTAATGATTAGTCACAACTTCATCCCTTTTCATACAGAGAGTTGTATAACTATCCTAATTAAACATGCACATGGTAAAATTAAAAGCTAGAGAGAGCTGCCTGGGCTTGGATGATAGCAATTAAATGATTTATGTTTACAGGCATCAATATTTATCTTATGCCTACCGTCTGTCCTAGCTTGTCATCTGTGGTTCCATGTGTAGTTCATTAGCTTTAGTAAGCAATCCAGATTCTTTTCTCTGGACACTGTGTTCTTGGCTGAGGGGAGTATTGCTTTTTGTAAGATTATGGAGTAAGACCATATTCTGAGTTTCACAAACACTTAGTCTTTCTGTCTTCACCTGAGGATTTTTTTTTGCTAGTTTCAGAAATACAAGGCTTCAAGGTGCTTAAAATAAATGAGTCACTCTCTCCTCCTGCCCCCAATTGTTCTCAAACAGGGAGTTCTTGCTAAAATTATTTAGGGTGATGCCCCTGACAAAAATATGGATGAACCAAGTCCCAGTTTCCACTGAGCTTCAGTATGTTAAACAGACACAATTTATTTTTCTTTTCTGCAGTTCTCCTTGGCTCTAGCAGGGTCAGAAGCAGCAGTAGCACTTTGACTGTTCCCAGTTGAGTCATTTGGAATGCAAATCACTTTGCAGTGATGCCAGAGGTTCCCATTGTGCTGGGCTTTATATAAAACGCGTGACAGATTGTCAGCTTTGTCACATTCCCTGGGCAGCAGGGAATAGGTAGAGGCTTTAACTTTGGATTCAGATAGAACTGGACTAGTATCAGAAGATCTTTGTCATCTTTGCTTTGTAGCTAACTATAAATCATATTAGAATATTACACTGAGTACTTTAGTGTGATCTTTTGATACTAGCATAAATTCCTACTGGGGAAGCTTAGCAGAACATGTGCTCTGGGGAATACAGTCTTCCTGTACCCTTCCCTGCTTTTCTTCTCTGTCTAAACTAGATATGAAGACCAGAAGTGAAATCTAGGGAAAATATCAAGCAATGTAAATTATCTGCTCTTGATTGATCTTGCACTCTCTGAGTTGAAGGGATTAGGGGTTGCAGGAGCATGTGGTGCATTTACAGACAAGATCTTTCAGCAAGAGTGTCTCTTGTGCTGAAGAAATGTGCTGCAAGGTTGGGCAGGAACTATCTTCCCAACTGGACAGATAGGAATCTGGGTAGATTTCCATGAAAATAAAGCTAGTGATTGGCTTTTACTCTGAGATTTGCTGTCTATCAAATATATTGGTTATTTTTGCATGAAACCAAATTTGGTGCTGAAGTGTCTCCTGAGAGCTGGATTAAAGTTGATGTTGTGTGAGTCTGTGCTATACTAGAGATTAAATAAATTGTGTTGAGTTTTCATTGCTATTCAAAGCTTTTGAATTACTGTGGCACTGTTTCAAAAATATTCAGAAGGAAACACTGAACTTTTCCTATTCAGTCCCATGTTAGCAGAACAAAACCTGAATGACTTTGCCATTTCAATTTTAAATAAAGAAAAGTTTAAATTTCATGATGAAAGCAGTTTGAGAGCTGTGGAATTTTTTTTTCAATTACTCTGCAAATTCTAATTTCTGAGATGATCAGTTTTGATTCTTTAGAGTAGTTCTGTCAGCACAATCCGCATCACCAATGTTAGTGAACTTAATTAGGAAAACTGATGATGGTGACTGTAAATGTTACTATTTAGCATGGTGGATTCAAAGAGTAACAAGAGAACATTTAAGGCTGTTGCACAACTCCATTAAAAAGTCCTCATTTTAGAAAATTTCGTAGCTGTCACCCTCAGTTATTGTGCCCAGGGTTTCAAAGATGCTGCTCTTTTGGCTCTTGAACGTGATTTTGTGGATACAGTAGCATCTTAAAAATTAGGTTTTGATTAAAAGACTTTGCACAAATGCCTTGTGTTAAAATAGGACCTCATGTTCTCTACTGTCACACTAGGTTCTCTGTAGCTTAAATCCACTCTAAATCCAGAATCTTGGTGCTGAAGTCGTTTGCCTTCTACAGTTCCTCTCTGAGGGAATGTGAATTGGAGCAAGCAGATGGAACAAGCAGATGAACAGACCTTGCAAGCATTTTGAAAATAGGTCTTGAAAGGGTTTTTAGTATAGGAAGCAAATAAGTCTGAATGAATAAGAATGAAACTTCACAAGGTTTTTTTTTTTTTCTTTCTGGCTTTGGTTTTTCAAAAACTTCTCTTTCTTTGAATTTAATATAACCCTGTGTTCAAGATCCTCTTTTTTTAATGGGGTCTTTGCTTTAAAACATAGGTGCTCTCTCTGCTGTATAGGTGATATTGTTCTTTTTCAGCAAGGCTTATGGTTTTCCTATTACCGTTGTACCAATAATTTTCCCTTTGGGACAGGAGATAGTCTAGAGGCAAGACACTATGAAAACAGATGGGCTGCACACTGAAAATGGAGCTGATGAAGCTGACAGCTTCTTTGCAATCCTATCAAGCGTGTCTTTGTATGGGTGATAAAATCAGCAGTCAAACTTCTGCCAAGTTTTTTCAGTTCTCTTCTACTTTGCAGCCACATAACCACGCAAGGGAACTTGCATAACTCTCCCCAGCAACATCCACAGCACTGCCTATGCTAAGGATGCTTGAGCAATATTTTCATATTCTCACTCATCTCCTAAATATTTTTCTGAGAGTTGCCTGTTTAGGTATTCACAGCTTCAGATCTGGAACAAACATACTTTTGAAAGCTACTTCAGACTTCACACAGTAGTTACAATATGGGAAGTACTGTGTAACCAGCAGTAGAGATCTGTTACTCTGTGTGGGGCTGCAAAGGGTTTGCATGTTAATGCCCTAATTTGAAAATCTGAGTTTGAAGGACAAGGCATGAGTAGAGTGCCCAGTATCATATTCCCTGTGCCATAGATGGCTTAGATTGAAATCTCTTGAGTTGTCAAATGGCTTTGCATTTGGGAAATCTCGTAAGCAGCATGCTATGTTAATTTTAAATAGAAATTGAACTTTTTTCTCCTTTTTATAGGAACTGGAGACATTGTTGCTGTCATGATTACAGAATCAAAGGTTAAGGAGATCCTGAATTACTTGGAGAAGAATATCTCTGTCCTGATGGCCATAGCAGTGGGGTCCCGTGTTCCTCCGAAGAACTTCAGTCGGGGCTCTCTAGTCTTTGTGTCAATATCATTCATTGTTTTGATGATCATTTCTTCAGCGTGGTTAATATTTTACTTCATCCAGAAGATCAGGTACACAAGTGCACGTGACAGAAATCAGGTAAGGGGTCTCTTCTTTTCTCTTAAGTTACAAAGATAATATTTCTGTATACAATAGTAAATAAAGAACAAATAAGGAGTGCCCATCAAACTGGTGTTCAGAACCTTTTTGTTCCAAGGCAGAGCATGTTGCCAGACAAGGATTTTTATATAGCAAAGTGTTTTCATCCTGAGCAGAACTGGTATAGATCCTACTGCATGACAGAAAGAATAGAATTGAAGCAAAATACTTGAGTTTTGGTTTGTGTAAGTCCAAAAGTAAGATGGATTCTTTGTTGGCTGAGTAATGCATACTGGATATATGTTGGGAATGAGGAGGAAAGTTAAATTATGAATCAACTTGTGTAGTGTATAGGAACACTGAGCAAATGTTACAAGTTCTCTCCATGCTCTTAAGGATACATCCTGTAATAGTTAAGGTAATTCATAAATTGTACAAAAGTATTCCCAAACCATAATCTGTCATGAATGTTAGAGTAAGAAAACGAAGGTGTAGAGTTGCTTAGAGGTCTGTGTTAACTTTCAACTTTATTTAAGATCACCATTGATAAGGAGAGCCTAATTCTCCTGGTCATATATTTTAACCAAAATTTTGTCCAATATGCCTTTCTTACATTCCTTTTCAACTCTTTATTTGCTTAAGAACTGAGTTATGTATGGCCGTATTCAGACATGTAGACTAAATCAAGTTGTCAACTCAAACACAGATAAACTTTAGGAGTAAATGTTTTACTAGTGTGGATTTAATGACCCTCCATAGTGTGCCTTGGCTTTTATTGAGAAGGGTTGGTAAACCTCAGGAAATCCACAGGGCCCTCTTTGTCCTGTCTGTCAAGACTAACTTAGAAACCTCTTGACCTTTAGTCACTGTCCCCTTTTCCCCCAAATTACAGCTGATACACAGCAGCTGACTGTGGGCCAGTTCTTTGGTGTTCTGTCAGACCTAAAACAAATTCAAACTTACAAAGCCTCAGCTGGGACACAGGATTTCCTTTTCAGTTGCTATAAATAGTGTCTGATGCTGCAGGTCCCATGGGCATCCTGTAGATTTTCCTAAGGATGTCATTCTTCAATGACCACACTGTAGCCGGTACTTAGTGTGGTCCCTTGGGATGGTGAAAGTTTAAATATAACTGTAATTTAATGAATGTCTGTGGAATACTAAATTGTGCCTTCTCTATCCCCTACATGGCTCTAGGCTCCTTCCAAATGTCCACGTTTCAAAACAGTTGCTCCATTGGGAAAGGGCTCTTATGACCTTTTTTCTTTCTTTAGATTTTTACAAAGGTCAGGAGAAACTTGATGAAAATTTTATGTGGTTTAAAAAGCTGAGCTTATTAAACTTTAATAAGAAGGTGGCGACAGCTACAGCTTATTTTTAAAGAGCTTTGAGAGCTTTCACAGAGACTGTACTGTTAGTGGTTAAATAACTTGGTTTAGGCTATGATCTTGTTCTTAAGTTATGTCAAGGCACCAAGTTTTTCTGTTTTTTAAAACCAAAGCCATCAAAAACTTGCTGTCTTTTGTAGATAACACAAGCAGATATTGGCATTTCACATCGTTATTCTTGCGCACTTCCGCCAGAGGTGTGAAACTCTTTTGCATGTGGGAGTGACCTTTTCCATCCAGACACTTGTGGCTTTTAAAGGCAAGCATATGCCTGTGCCCTAACCCAGCAAAATAGCAAATCCTGAGCATTTCCAGTGTTAGCATGAAAGAGTATTTGCTAAAAATAGAAAAGGGAAGAGATTGACCTCTTAAACGGAAGAGATGGAAGTTGTTATTATTTAGCAAATTTGTTTATGTAAAAGAGCTTCAATATGTTGGAAGAGTTCTGCTGAAATATTATGCTTTCAATGGGAAAATAATCTTTAAAATTTCTTGTGCATATACGATCACATGCTGTAGAATGAAATACAGATACATTTACTTAGCTGGTAGAGTTGAGCATTTAAGTTAAATGCCATTTCAGCCTCCTTCCTCTCTTAGTAACCACACTTTTGCTTATGCAATGGTTTTCTACTCCAGCAGTGTGCCCAGTGTGTTCTGTGTCATTAAGTACTCAGGCCAATATGCTTGTTCCAGGATATGTAATTTAGATCTGCTTAAATTGACCAAATTCTCACATATTGAAGTTAGGGTGAGATATCTGACTTTAAGAAGCATATAATTTCCCATCCCAGCTCTGCTTCTGATGCTGTGCTTCCTACATGGATGTACTTTAGTACCTGGAACTGTGTATCTGATTTTTTTTCAAATCCTTGCTCTAAAAGATATAAAATAAGAGCTGCTGTTCTGTGAAAACCACAAGGAAGAAAAGTGCTTACATAATTCTAGAATAAGTGGTACAGTCCCTTGTAATACAGACTTCTGAGGTCATTGTATTTCTCACATAAAAGCAGCTTTCATTGCAGTTTGCATGAGGAGTAATGTGTGATACAGGGTGTACACTTTAGGAAGGATTTGGGTTTCAGTTTTATAAAAAGTGGGCACAAAACCTCACACATTCATTGCAGGCTGCAGGAGCTCAGAAGCAGCCCATCCCTTTCAAAGGCAACTTAGTACAGATTGGAGGGGGAAGAGGACATACTTAACTTCTGTTTTTTAAGTCAGTTGTAAACTGATGTCTCACGTCCCTGAAGGAAGAGGACAGGATCTTTGTTTCATTCAGTGCCTATCTCCAGTGACAGCCCAGTGGGAAAACAGTGACAAACAGCTGTTCCTTATTGGCTGGGAACTGGCAATTTCCTTAGGAATCAGCACTTGAATGTCAGAAAAGGCTCCTTCCATCCAGCTGTGGTGGTCATAAAGCAGCACAAACAGCAAAAAAATAATTCTGCTTCTGCATTCAGATTGAGGTTATCTTCAAACCAGTAATAATTTCAGCTTTATTTAAGTCTGTATTGGCTTATTTAGATTTCGTGACCCATCAGTTTTTTCTTTTATGAGATCCGGTGGTTTGAGTAATAGCAAGGGAGAAACTAGGTTACACTGGGAGGATCTTTTGCATCTCAGAATAAGATCAGCCTGCTCAGAGAGGAAATATAAAAATAATTCAAGCTTAAGAGAACAAGCAGTATATTACAGCACACTGAATAAAAATCAGTATGAACAAAATGTAATGGAAGTCATTGGGAGGGGACAGTGCTTTTTGTCCTGCAACCTGGATTTGATTAGTTTTGCACATCAATGTTGATTCACTTCTGTGGGCTTCTGTACAGTCCATGAGTTTTATGCCCATGCTTGTGGAGAGCATTTGAGGATTCAACTGTTGGCTGTTTTTCCTTCTTGATGAATCTGTGCTTTGCTGTGTTTGCATTTTGTCTTATATATGTTGGCCTGCTGCCATAGTGTGTATTGCAATGGTATTATTGAGTCCAAATAAGTCATTATGAAGGACACTAATGAAGCTTTTTTATCAGGGTTAATTTGTGTTCTCTTCTTTGTCACTTTATTAGCGTCGTCTTGGAGATGCTGCCAAGAAAGCCATTGGTAAATTGACAACCAGGACAGTAAAGAAGGGTGATAAGGTATAATAATAAGATTTCAACATGATAAACATCATGTTTAATTTTTTTCTGGGGAAACAATATCAGTTTTTTTCTTTCTGTTTTTGATTGGTGACTTTGCCTTCCTTGTTGGAGGCTTACTTTTTCCTGTAGCACAATATTTTGTGTAACTGTTAGTATTGATGTGTGCTGTAAGCCTATATCTTTCAAAGAAGTTTTTCTTTCTTAAATACTATTTGCACTCCATCTGGCAACTGTGACTGAGGGTGGTTTTGTGTGCTGGCTGACTGGGAGGGTGTCCTGGCATGAGTACATAGGGCTGGCATTGTTTATGTGGAATTATAAAGCTTATAACTTTATCATATGTAAGTTCTGTAAAGGAAAAATAAATTTAAAAGACAGATAATTGAAGATAATCTCTTAAGTAAAATACGACTATTAAGTAAGTTAAGGGGGAGCATAAAGAGGTATTTCAGTCAAAGTTACTCAAAGAGTATTTCTTGCTAGTATACAAACTAAAATATATCTAGTGTGTTATGTCCTAAGCTTTTTCCACTTTTGTGAGCAGTATTGCTTTAGTTTTGATTCTGAAAGGAAAGAATAGTCATTTTATCTTGCTTAATTTTTTAGCTTTGATTTTCAAAAGGCAGTGGAATTCTGGCTGTGATTTGATTTTAAAAATATTATTTCTTAGGACCTTTTTATTGTGATTCCTTTTTTCTTTCTTATCAACACTATCAGCAATGGGACATTAGGAAGTGATAGGAAAATTTGCTTCCAGAGAGAAGGCAGAGAAAACGTCTTTCTGTTTTTCCTCCCTCCATATGTAGTTCTATTACGAAACAGCCCAGTGCACTAAATCTTTTCTGGAATTGAGGAACATACAAATTAGAGGAACCTTTCCATGTAAAACAGTGCTCTTGTCTTGACAGCATAAAGTCAGAACGGGCAAGTGCTTTGTTGGTTGCAGTACAGACAGCATGAGGTGCTTATGCAGGTGAACAGAGTAGGAAAAACCTTTTTCTTCCTCAGAGAAGCCATCAGGATTCTCTGTGTGCAGCCCTTGCTAGTGCTGATCAAGAGTGCCTTTGGCCTTGCTCTGGTGTCTGGCTTGTAGCTGGTTGGCTTGAAAAAGAATAATGAAGTTGAACTAAGAAAAGGCACAGCCTGTTTTGTGTCACAGGCCCAAACGTTTTAAACGTGTCTTGTTGATGTCATATCTATATACAAATAAAGTCCCCCCGCTTTTTCTTTTGGAATTTCAAAATAGTATATTTAAAAATATAGTTTTAAAAAATCATAACTTCTGGAAAACAGAAAAGAGAGGAGCTGGTCAATCAGTGAGCCTCAAATTCATGTCTCGATAAGAATTATGATAATTCTGCAAGTAAGCAGCCGACACAAATATGGGACTACTCTGCACTAAGTAAAGTGTGCTCGTTCTGCCTATAAAAATGAGCCCCAGATTTCTTATTCTGCCAAAACAAACAAACAAACAAAAAAGTAAATAAAATAGAAGTGTTAGCTCTGAGCTGGAAGTAAAAAAAAGGAAATCTAGGAAAATCTCCACTATATTTCATAACGATTTCACTGAACATTAAAATCATCTTAGGCCTTAGCTTATGTATCAAATGATGATTTACCAGCTCCAAGAAAGGGGAGTTTTCCATGTATGAGATGCTTTTCTTGCTTAAGTCATGTTGGAATATAATAATCCAGTCATTGGGTTTATAGCTTAGTAACAGCCACTTGGCACAGTGCAGTTCATGTACTAGTCACAACTACTTTGACATTTGTCATAGCCTCAACTCTTGACTTGAATTCTCATTCTATTCATTTTAGGAAACAGACCCAGACTTTGATCATTGTGCTGTCTGCATTGAGAGTTACAAGCAGAACGATGTTGTTCGCATTTTGCCATGCAAGTAAGATAATAAAGTTGCTTTGTTTGGAAACTGTTCTCTTTTGGTGCTCTTTTGTTTCATTTCATATAATAGGTGCATTGTAATTCACAAATGCATTCGTTGGATGTTTCCAGTCCTAGTAATAGCCACTTTATTTTAGACTGTGGTGCCAGAAGGTGTGAAGATGGGTGCTCGCACTATTAGGACAGTGGAGATTAAACAGAATTATATTAAGATTATTGGCAATGGAGCTGTGGAGATTGCAGTGAGGGGGAGGAGTGCAGGTTTAAGGACCAAGTGATGGGCAGACTCAAAGCACTTCAGTATAATGAGCCAGGTACAGCTGCAGCATTCTGCACTGTAGATGTGCAACAACTGACTGCTGGTTTCTGAAACTGTAGAGAATGGAAATGCAGTCTTTGCAACCTTCATACCACCTGACATTAGTCAGCCACTGTGCTGTCATCTGTTTTTGGTCTCTTCAATGCAGTGTGATCTTGGCTTGTGTCTGAAGATTTGTACTTGCTAGTAGTTCTGCATTACTGCTTAAAATGTAGCAACTTCCTCCCCCTTTTGTAGCATAGTGTTGACATTTACAGGTTTTTAGTTTGCTTCCATTCCAATTCCATTCTTGAGTTGTTCTGGGACATTTTCCTTTGAGAAATGCTTTTAAATACTTTTCCACCTGGTGGTTGATTTTGATGAATCATACATTTTGGTAGCATTACCAAGGACATCTTTCCCTTGTGTTTTGAAATGCAAAGCTTTCTCCTCATCTCCAGACACAAAACCGACATGTAAATTAGGTTGTATATATGCAGCAAGATCCAGTAACTTGGCTTGTGCTTGGTACATAAATGGTTCTGCATGATACTCCAGAAGCAGCAAAGTTGTGTGTTAGGGTTGATGTCCAGTCAGACAGTAGCAGCACATAAGAGCTCATTATTGGTCTTCTAAATCTTCCTGCAGGCTGTTCTGAATAGCTTGAATATCTTCTAATGTGCAGGGTATTTTCATCATCATAAAAGGAAAACAGTATTATTTTATATCTTGCTGATCAAAATATGTGTGTTATACTTCTGAAGCCAAAACTCTAATTCAGTTTACTGTTCTCTCTGTTCCTTACTGCTTGAACAGCAGGAAACAATGACGTGTTTTAGATTCTCCATGTTGTTTCGCTAAAATACCCTACAACTAATTATTTAGAACCTCTCATTAAAATAGTCAAGAGTAGAAGAGTTTAGATTGTAAAGATTTGGGAGCTTTTGGTCATGTGGATGTGTGTGGGTTTTTTTTACAATTCGGTCACTTTACTCAAAGTTGATGTCCTTTTGCTCTGAAAAATGTACTCCAAAGTGTAAAGATTTCAGAGTTACATTATTTATGGCAATCTCAAGTGAAGCTTGTATAGGTGAATTAAGCCCTGCTCTTTGGATTTGTTCTGCAGAAGGTTATTCAGAAATTAGAGGAGGAACTTCTGGAAACTGCACACCAGTTTTGGACCACTGAGATGATTGTTTTGTAAACTGCCTCTTAAGAAAGCTTCTCTGCTGTAGCTCTACTGTGAGGCTCAAAGACATGGAATGAAAGGTCACAAGTCCCACTCCTCTGTGCCTTTCTCTTGATAAAAAGGGCAGGAAGAGGTCCTTGCCAGTGAAGAGAAAATGAGTCTTCCCTGAGAGGAAAACAACTGTTTCCACTGAACACAAGGCAGAGTTGAAATTAAAAACCAGTTAAAAAACTGTCCCTGTGCAAGCAGTGGATATGTTGCTGATATCCAGTCCATTTAAACAAGATGATCATTGATTTATGTTTTTAATTAAAAAAAAAAAGAAAAGTCCTTTTTCTTCAGACACCTTTGTTGAGCTGCAGACAGGAAGCTCTGGGCTCTCAGGGATAGTTACAGCTGTTCAGGGAGCTGCATGCAGGTGCACCTGGCTGCCACCTCAGCACAACCTGCCCCAGTACAGTTTCCCATGTAAAGGAGAGATCAAGGCTCTTGTGTAGATCATTTTCTGTTCTGTTTTTCACAAGAACGTAAGGTCAGCGAAGGCTCAGATTTCATTCCTGCCAAAGGCTGTATGACAGCTTTTATGTTCACTTTCTACTTATTTTTTACATCTCACTTCTCATTTGCTGCAACTCAGCTTTTAAGTGGAGTGCAAAACCATCTAGGCTAGATATGAACAGTGAGATGGATGCTTTCCACAAGACATTTTTATATTTGTAGATGAAAAGCCACCTAGTACCTTCAAAGATGGGCCCAATAAATTTCAGATTCCATGTGAGATTTTTCAGTGTTCAGTACCTCAGGTGCTTCTCCCCAAATCTTGTTATGGAAGTTTATCTCCTTTCTACTTCCTCGTACTTCAGTCTTCCATTTTAGTGCAGCATGCAATGTTAGTTAAAAAAAAACCCACCAAACCAAAAACCAAACAGCACACAGACAATAAAGCAAAGCCTACAAGAGAGTTTCTAAGCTAGATGTGAAAATAAATTGCAGTAAAACTATGGAGAAAATTACTTGACCAACAGGAAGCAAATAAAAGGCTTAGAAGTTCTTCTTACTGTGATTTTTGGGGAAGCTGTAATCATTAGACAGTAGGAATCACTGACATGTGACATCTCTGCTGCTTTCATCAATTTAAAAGTAGCCTTTCTCTTTAGTAATACAGTTGTTCTCCACAGTTAAGTATGTTCCTGTCACACTGTGCTTCATCAGAGAAATCTGGTCTGAGAAGGCAAACAGCAGGCAAAATCTACCAGCAGCTGAGCAAGTTGCACCTAAAATTCTGTAGCAAAACACCACGTTTGTAATGTAAAGTTTTGTGGCAAGCAGAAAATTTTGACCAATTTAAAAATCAGCTAGAGTGAAAATAGTAGAAATTCATCTGTATTGTGTGCAGTAGTTCATTTTGTGCTTCAGAGAGAGATGTTCAGTACCAGCAGCCTATGAACATACCTATAGCTTTACTGCACAGAGGGACAAGCTGCCACCTGTTTTAGGCTTCCAAGCTTGAGGAATGTGTCTTTTGTGAATGTCATTATTTAAGTGAAAAGTAAGTAAAGGGACCAAATGTCATAGGGATCCTAGGGAAAGACAAACCTCATGGACAGTTTTCCTTATTCAGATAATTTTATTCTACCATCACACTGTTGCATCTAGGGGTTGAAAAGGCACTAGGTGAAAAGTGATCAGGAGTGGGTAGTGTGAAGGATTAGTGAGAGATAAGGGAAGGGGAGAGCAAGGTGACAGGTTAGAGAAGAACAGAAAATGAAATTGCAAAGGGCAGAAAGATAGCCAAGGAAGGAAGGAAAGAATTAACAAGGTAGGAAAGGAACTAAAAGAGTAGCAAATACTATAAAATAAATGGCTTTTGAGCCAAAGTCTTAATTCCTGTCCTGGGCAAGAAGGAGGAAAGTGACAAAAGTGACTAAATCAGATTTTCGTGTTTGATTCTGTGCTCCTGCAAACTTTTTAAGACCAAATTAACACAGAGTCTTGATGTCATCGTTTCTGCTTCCTGCAGTGCCTTGGGCCCCAGGGCGAGGAGAGCAGCTCCTCCAGCAGTGGCCAAAGATCCTGCTTTGCAGCAGCAAGGGTCCCTTTGGTGGGATGCTGCACTGAGAGCAGGGAAGGGTAGTAAGCTCTAGGAAAACACCACTCATAAATCAGTCAACCCTTCTCCTTTTGTGATGTGTGAATTTGGTGGGCTTACACCACCAGAAGAGATTCCTTACTTACTCACTTTCTCTTCTGTGAAATGCTGCAAAGAAGCCTTGTTGTACAAGAGTCGGTGTTACAGTGTTTATTACCAGCTGGAGGGCAACTGAATTGGGTGTGCTGACAGAGTGGAAAAATACCTGCAGGTCACCTGCCTGGAGTTGTGCCCGCATGGGAGAGACTCCGTCAGTGCTGCCAGCCTGGCTGCCAGCCCTGCTTCCTCCAGCCCGGGGCTGTGTCACACCTGACCCCAGCGTGGCTCCTGAGGGAACGTCAGCAGCTGTCGTGACCAGGAGCAGCTCCCTAGGAACTCGCCACGTTTATGGTCTTGGAATAGGAAGATGGAGGAGGTTTATGAGAGCAGAAATTGCAGGGGCTTATTTTGTCAGGGTGAGGTCTTAAAATAATTCTTGTTTGCTGTCGTCATTGCTGTGTAACTGCTTTTTAACTCTTGCAGAGAAATCCAGGCAGAGCCTGAGCCACAATGATGCTATCAGCAAGCATTTTAAGAGGTAGAGAAACTGTGTAAGTAGTAGGCAGAACCATGCTTTCTAAATCAATAACCTTTGGAGAACTGCACTTCTTTGAAACACATTAATAAACATCTTTGAAGATTTAGGAACTAAAAGCAAAGAATTAGGAGGTCACAAAAACAATTGGGCTGTGTACATAAATATATCAAAGTGCTAATGACTTTTTAAAATAACTCACAGTATTTATTGGATGCATGTTGACATCTATATCGGTCGCCTGCTTCACTTGATCTGAGTGCTTCTACAGCACTGATTGGCCAATAATGATATAATAAAGCTGTTTTCATACTTCTGTGGAGTCTTTATGTCTGCTCTTGCCCAAAATACTAGATTTTCAGATTGGTTCTACTTTAAAAAAACAGACTCCAGGGACTTAAAATATAAGCAAATAACAGTCGTAATTTGCCTAACATAGAAAAATAGCATCTCTGTGTGTTTCAGAATATTTCAAACCATTATGTATCACGCAGGGTTTCTAAGCATTGTTTCCTGTAGTTTTGTGAGTAATAAAAGAAGTGCATTAAGACTTAATAATAATAGAAGTGAGTCTGTTGTGGGTGATGATTTGAACAGAATGCACTGTACCTACCCTTTTTTTTGTGATAGCCAGCTTGCTAGAGGACACAGGCCAGGCAAGTGACTAATTGAGGTTCTTTAAGTTTCTATTCCTGCATTATCTGGGATAGATACAAGCAAAATTATTTTGCTGCCTGTCTATCTTCTGTTGACTATTTTAATTCTGCATCTTTAGTTAGTACAGGTAGGACATACTGCTGTAGCTCCCTAGAACTTGATTATGTTGGTATTCTTCAGTCCCTCCATCAGCCTGAGTAGACATAGACAATAATTATATAATGTCTTTTGCCATGTTTAACAGTTTCAGGAGGCCTTTCAGGTTGCTTTCCAGAGATTTAAAAGGGAATTGTCTGGTAACATGCCTCGTTTGGGATCTGACTTTAAAATCCCAGGAGAAGGGAGCAAAAAACTCCCAGATTCCATGATGAGCTTTCTGAGGCACAGAGCACAAGTGTAACCCAAGCAAGGAGGGGTCAGAGAGTATCTCAGCTTTATGCTGCCTTGGGGGCACGCATGGCCACCTCTTCCAGACCCTGCTGATGCCTCAAATAGATAGCAAGACCTGTTTGTTCTGCCCCTTTCCCTGCTGGCTCCAGAGCACAGGTCTTCACTGACTAAGCAGCCCTTGTAATTGCTGATCTTTGTCATGATCACCAGTCTGTCGTGTTTGGGTGTGCCTGCTCTTACTGGCTTCTTGCTCCACAGTCAGCACCTCTGGAAATGAAGGATCAGGGCTCTTATCATAGGAATTATCATAGGCAGTTGCTCAGACTGGGTTATTATGAATATTTACTAAAGCTATATTGGGGTAGACAGTCTTGTGATATGCATTCCTGCAGTGAATATGCTCTGAATAGTTCTTTGCCTTTCGAAAAGCTAAGAGGGCATTTCCTTTACTTCCTTTAATTTATATACTTTGTTTTGGTCTCGGCATAGTCCTTCCTTGTTATACTGGTTTATATCAATACCAGCACTTATATTTATATTCATGTATCTGACTAAGATTTTGAATGCAATTTCGGAGGCAGTTCAGACTGCTGCCTATTGCAAAGTTCCCTGCCGTGCAAGTAGGAGCCCAATTTGCCTTTCCATCTCTGAAAGCCCAGTTTGCCTCTCCTTTTATTTGTATGACAACGATATGATGATGGACATGTTTTCCTTCTTGATACCAAGAAATACTGATGGCAGGGAAAGCCTTCTTTTTACTTCAGTGTGATAATTATAAAAGCCTTTTCAAAGTCAAACAGGAGTGTGTGCGGGTTGGTTCCACTGACTTGTGAACAAAATTGACAGCTGATGGATCTGTACTCTTCCTACCAAGTCTGTGGTCAGATTCTGCATCAAAACTGAGACAAGGCTGTAGACAAGGTTATGGTGGAAATGGCATTACCTTACATCTACTACTCATATCCAAAAAAATGTAAAAGGGGGGGAGGGGCAAGGGGGAATGAAAACCTTCCAAGTGTTTCCTCGTAATTGAACTACTAAGAAAGGGTGACAACAACAGGCAATATTTTTTAATTTATTTTTTTTACTTACTGCAATTAGCACAGAATACTGGCAATTCTAATAATTGCATGTATTTTAAAATTTAAAAAAAGCAACTATCCAAAAGTTTAATTAGTTTTCATTGTATGAAATAGAATTGTTTGCAAACTATGTATGTGTCTTCTCTGTTCTTCTAGGCATGTGTTCCACAAAGTCTGTGTGGATCCATGGCTCAGTGAGCACTGTACATGTCCGATGTGTAAACTGAACATTTTGAAGGCATTGGGAATTGTGGTAAGTTGCTCAGTTGTGAACTCTTCCTCCCATGTCTGAGACCCAGAATAGGAAGAATAATTGTAGGGGAGAGAGGGGGAATGGTATTCCAGTACCCTTACCCCTGTTTGGGGGTTTTTACAAATTTCTTTGGTGCTGATTTGTTGTTTTCCCTTTTTTCCCTGGTTGGTAGTTGAGAATATATTCTTGTATTTGCCTTTATGACAATTATCTACTGGAAGTATGCTAGATTCTCTGTAATCTTTCTTTTTCTCAGGTCCTTTCAACTCTTCCTTGTCAAATTTACTCTCTGAATCTCTTGTTCTTGTAGCTTCCTGTAGGCAGTCTTAAATTTGCACATTAAAATCCCCACCCTAGCCAAGGCCAGTGAGTTTTCCTCAAGCAGTTCATGTCTTATGGGATCCCCGAGGACTGCTTTCATTGACCAGTTCACAAAGGGATAGCAGTGAAACCTCAAAGCAGATTTTTTTAATCTTTCCTGTACGAGGAAAAAATTACAAAGTGGGAGTGATGCTCTTTTCGGAGTAAGAGAAGAACATATGGAGAGACTGTCTAAAGTGGTTTTTGATTCAAGACAGAATAATCAGGTCTCCGTTTTTAGCTGTGTCAGTCACAAATTTGCACATTTCCTAAGAAATAGTAGCAGATATTTTGTGGATGACCTGGTTTTGCAGTTAATAACGTTCCTGGGTTTTTAGAAGAGGATGCAGAATTCAGAGTTTGTCATGGTTGTGGTAAGCCATACAGGCATAGGCTATGACACAAGTGTGTACTTGAGTCCCTTCCTTGTATCTCAGTCCTTTTTTCTGCTTTGTCCTTCTCCTCTTTAAGAGGTATAAGTTGTTCATTCACGTGTTTCTCTCCTGTGTGGCCTCGGGACAGCCACAGCGGCTGAAAAAAGCGTGTGTGAGTGGTTTTGTTCCGTGTATGGGTGTGCTGCAGGTAGATCCCTGGGCACTGTAACGCAGAGCTGTGTTTCTCCCCAGCCCAACGTGCCCTGCACAGACAATGTAGCCTTTGACATGGAGAGGCTGACGCGGGGGCAGCCGGCGAGCAGGCGCTCGGCTCTCGGCGACTTCGGCACCGACAGCTCGCTCAGCCTGGAGCCCCTGCGCACCTCGGGCATGTCACAGCTGCCACAGGACGGCGAGCTGACACCCAGGTCAGGAGAGATCAACATTGCAGTGACAAGTAAGTGTCCTTTGGCTCCCGGTACCGTCCTACGGCTTCCGTGGTGTGTGAGTGTGTCGCTCTGTGCTGCAGGGCCCTGGTGATGGATGTCCCTGCAGGGACAAAGGTGACCTCAGTGTCTCTGCAAGAGGCATATGCTCCTTACTGGAACCAATAACTCTGGGTATGACAGTGCCAGCACTTCCATTATTAATGGTATATCCATTTAGATCCGCATGCAAAAAACCCTGGATGAACTGAAATGGCACCAAAATAACCTTCCTGAATTTGGTAACCAGCACAAGAAGCTGGATTGCCAAAACTGTTATTCATCCCTTCAGAATACTTTACATGCAATTATTTATACAAATATAAATATTTTAGCTGATAGCTATTTCTGCAGACATTTTTTCCCCTGATAACATTGCTACTGGAATTCTGATGTCGCTTAGTAGGTGTTTTTTCTTACAAAATTTGTGAATTAAAGAAGCATTTGATGTACCAACATTTGAGTATTGTCCAAGTGTTTTATAACATCAGAAAACTGTTCCTGCACTGCTTGAAAGCTCTTATCCACAAAAGCAGCATGGAAAATTTCCACTTACTGGAATTTACCTAGGATCTTTAATGTACAATAGCACTCTAATAAATATAATACGTGTAGAATTGCATCAGTTATCCATATGCTGTACAGTCTCGATGCCTGGTTGTTTTTCTGGCTGAATTGCAAAAAATAGAATCCATGCAGTACAACAGTCTAATTTTCTCCGTGTATTTTGTTTATGTGCATCTGTGATTTAGATGTTGAACTTAGTGACACTGGTTGCCACTGATACATGTGTACAAGGCAGTGAAACCAATGCAGTCATTAGAGAGTTTCTTTAGATGCTGTAGCAAAGTAAATGTCTCATTTAAAAAAAAATCTTCACCTCATGAAAAACGTAGTCTGTATCTAGAAATGTCCTGATCTGAGATGGGAAAATCCACATACAAAACCTGGATTCTCCACAAAGCCAGTAAGTCACTTTGCCAGCCAGTGTTCAACCTCTGGTTCACCTTTCACTCAGTTGTGTTGAACGAGAACAGATCCGTAGCTGTGCTGCTTCCTTGTCATGGGTGGGAAAACTGTAGTTTTCACTTCATGCTGATTGCCGTTTCAGAAGGTATTTTTTACTGTCTGTTCCCAGCTGTAGTGCAGCTTGTGCACAGATGGGATGCCAGGGTAAAACAAGAAGTAACCACCAACAGTTCATTCTGACAATGTTTATAAAGTAAAGATTTAGAAAGGGCTCTTGAAATGTTTATATTTAATGGATGACACATGCATTCTTTAATGCATGGGAGTTAAACCAAAAGCTGTATTCAATAACAGTGTTTGTATTCTGAACTATTACTGTATTCCAGGTTGGTCCTGGGGAGAATTTTGAATAGTGAACATTCTTTAATAGACTTCTTTATATTAGTTGTTCTTTAATGTGCGTGTGTGTGTGTATGTCTACCCTAGTAGTGAAATTATTTTTCCATGGGTATAACCATCTTTTAAGTAGAAAACTCTAGTTACGTGTTACTGTTGAGCAACCTATCCTGATTTTTGCTGTGTTTTAAATAACACTATAACACAAATTCAGGAGGGAGGGGGCAAAGACACAGTTGAAGTGTGACAGTACTTTGGATGTGCTTATGTGAAAGAGCTGCATCTCACCAAACCTAGCCTAACCTGACAGTCGTCTTTCTGACTTGGGGGTGGAGTTTTCATTACATTTTCCCTTGATCCTGCATTTCACTTTACGTTGTTAAGTAATTTTTCTTTATCACTAACCCTTGGGCTCAGCCAGGAAATACTGTTGTGCCATGCTTTTTTTCTGCACCTCTCTCCACTTCTTCTTTGCTAGCCTTCTCCCGTCAGTAACTCTGTGGCTTAACCTCCTTCTGCTTCACCTCCTGGGCCAGTCATGGCTTAGAAGCCTCTTGCCTTCCGCCAGTGGTGTTTGAGGGAAATATTGGCATCGCTTTCTCCCACGAGTGATTTCCTCCCTTTCCTTTGTCAACAGAAGAATGGTTTATTATTGCCAGTTTTGGCCTCCTCAGTGCCCTTACACTCTGCTACATGATCATCAAAGCCACAGCTAGCTTGAATGCTAATGAGTAAGTAAATACTCAGATGTTTCTGTGTGTTTCTGGTGGGTGTGTGTCATGGACATTATATATAAATACCAATAGAAGGGGGAATATGTAGATTTCAAGGAATCAAATTAATTTCCTGCTTTTCTCAAACCCGAGTGTCTCTGTTAACAGCAGCTTTCAGGGTAACATGTAAAATCCCTCTTAATTTTTTAGCTGAGTTGTCTGAAGAAATCTCTTTGCTAAGTGGAGACATGAAAAGGGGAAAACAGAGTATTTATGGTCAGTTCTTGATTAATGTTCTAGGTAAACATTAAATTTCTGCCATTAAATTCCTATATACAAAATTCACCTGCCAGAGCCAAAACCTACTACCAGCAGTTACCTTTGACAGTTTTTACCGTAATTTCATAGTCAAATTTCATGTTAAAAAAAACCCCTGTATTCCTACTTGGCACACTTTTCAGCTAAGGGGGAAAAAAATGGTGTTTAAATAGAAAACTACCTTTTTCTTCTTAGGTGAGGGAGACATGAAAGCAATGAATGCAGTACTGTTCCTTCTCTCTTAAATGAAGGGATGCTTGCTTCCATGCTTTCTTAATCTATATGGAAACCCTCCAGCCGCCCTTCAGGCAGGCTGGACAGGAAATTTCCCTAGCAGATGACTTTCAGTCTTTTTTTTATAATTCTGTGTGTGAGCAAGTATAAATCTATTCTGCAGATCTATTAAGTAGGGACATCTAGTTATTTTCATGTAGGTATACAGAATATCTGGGCTGAGGATGTATGTTTAATCTTAATTTAATTATCTATTTGGGAAGGCAAAGTGTCAACATCTTTCTTTGTCTCTGAACGTCTTGACACAGATGAATTCCCATTAAAGTGGTGATCAGAAGTGGGGTGAGATCCAAAGAAATGCAGCTGGGAAATGCAGCTTTATAAACATTTTCTTTGGGTTTTTTGTTTTTTTTTTTTTCTTTGAGGTAAGAGAAGGGGTTGGATTTTTTTTTTAAAGTGCTATTTGGAAAGTATAAGGTTCCCTCAGTAAGATGAAAACATATCTAATAGTCTCCAGTGTCAAATTCTAGGCAATCTCAAGCAAATGATCTTCAGAAGGGTCCGTAGTATTGGTCAGGGATTTTTGATTACCACTAATTTGCAAATCTTCCTGCACTTTTCATATGCTGATTCCAAAAGGGCTTCATGAAGAAAACTTTTAGTACTTCAAATAGCCCTATTATATCTACTGATTTTTTTTTTCCATTTGTCAAAATCTTGAAGTTGCAGCCATCAATCAGCAATTTGGCAACATAGCTGCAGCCGAACATAGTTAATCTTTAATCTGCCTGGAAAAGTAGCTTGGGAGGGCATGGGGCAAGATGAGCTGCAGAACAGGAATGTCTGCATTGCTGGGCACTTCCACAGTAGCTGGGAAGGAGGAGGAGCCCATGAAGTCTCATCCAGATGTGGGCACTGATAGCAGCTGCATTTCTGCCTTGCAACTCTTCTTTTTGTTGCTCAGTGGGATCTGGGACTGTTTTTACTGCAAGAACAAGCTGCTACACATTGGCAGGGACTTTGGGCCTCCAGCAAAGTGTTTTCACAGTGATGTTCCCTCAGTACAAACAAAGGGTGTGCTGATACAAGGAAAGCTCCTTTTCTGAGTGACAGGAATTGAAATGCAAGCACATCGAGTGTGTACTTGAGACAGACTTGAGAAAACTCACAACCCAGAAATCAGAGCTTCAAAAATCATTTATTTGGGTAACTGAGGTTCTTGGCTGTGGCCTTTAACCTCAGCAGCTCTTCATCTGAATCCTCTGGGATCTGAGCAGCCTCCACAAGTGCTGCTAGGTTCGACTACTCATTCTAGACAATTTAAAATGACACTAATGCTAAAATTTATTATTTCACTGACACCTTCCCAGTGCCAGACAGAGAATTTTCTATGCTAAATATCATGCCAGATATATGGCAGCTCCTTCTCATTGCTTTTTCTATTAAACAGCATACCTGCTTTTTATGCTGCTTTCCATGTAAAAAGCAATGCTGGCATGCCCTGCCTTTCTTATGGTAGTGTTTCAAGAGGAATCTGAAAACAACAGTAACAAAAACAAACAAACAAAAAAAAAAAAAAACAGTAGCAAAAATGAGGCCATGTAATGTGCTGATGCAAGTAAAAGACTTGAAATTCTTCTTTAACGCTCACGTAAAACATATTCTCCACCTTTTTTTTTTGCTATGTCCTTCCCACAGCTTAAACATAGTTATTTAGAGCAATAGTTCTGGAGTTGTGAGTACATACATATTTAGCTGTGTATATGTATGTTTGTGTGTATGTATAAATACATACACATGCATTTTGCAATATTTGTGATAACAGTAAACATTGTCTAAGTGATAAAATAAGGAACCAGCTGCTTTCTCTTGGTCTCAAAGTACCCTTGTAGTACTAGTATGAAAAGTTGTAGGCAGTGTTTGAAAGGAACAGAAGCAGCACAATTTGCCTTGCTTCCTAGGGAACAGTCAGAAATTACTGTGTAAGTGTGGGTTTAAGCCCAAATAACCCAAATGTTGGATAGCACCACTTAGAGAAAGTTTTCAGTAGCAGATGAAGTGTCCTCAAAAGCTTAGAAGTGCTTAGACCTCTGGCTGTTCTGGAGGAATGATGTGACAAATACAGACATCTCTTAATGCTCTGGCTTTGTACAGTTAGTCATTTTTCACTAACTTACTTTTACAGGATTTTTAATTTTTTTTTTTAGTATTAACTTTAACATAAATATTTTGTTCCTTGTTTTTCTGCCCTGCAGAGCAGAATGCTATTGAAGAAACGCTTTCCGGCCGATTGCCCTGGAGAGAGACACCTATTTTTATGCATCATTTATCGATCATGCAAC